CAACCTCTGTACCGGGTAACGCATTCTCAGGAACGGGAATGTTCACATATTTAAGTATTACTATAGGGGCGTTATCATTGACATCAATAACATCTATTAATACAGAACAATGATTGGCTAATCCTTGACCATCCTTGGCCTGAATTGGCAGTTCAATTGAACTCACGTCCTCATAATCAATCAGCCCTGCTAGTTTAATCTCTCCAGATAAGGAATTAAGAGAAAATATTTCCAAAAGCCGTTCGGATAAATGGCCAAATTCATAAGTCACTTCTCCATTTTGTCCCTCGTCTGCATCAGTAGCGCTCACTGTCACCACTACAGTATCTAGAGGAGAATTTTCAGGCAGACTGACTTTATAGACGGCCTGACTAAAGACTGGAGCATTATCATTAGCATCCAGCACAGAGACGTGTATGGCTACAGTACCTGATCTCGGTGGAGTCCCGCCGTCTACCGCAGTGAGAATTAATGTCACCTCTTTCTGCTGCTCACGATCTAACTCTTTATTAAGAACTAGCTCTCCATATGCTCTTCCATTTGTACGCGTAAGTACACTAAGAAGAAAGTGTTCGTTTTCTTGCAACATGTATGACTGCACTGCATTCATACTAATATCTGCATCATGAGCCTCATCTAATAAGTAACGAGAACCTTTAAGTGCCGATTCCTGTATTTCAAATTTGATAACACTTTGTTTAAACTGTGGTGAATTATCATTTATGTCCTCAATATTGAAAATGACGCGATGCAAACCTAACGGATTTTCTAGCACAAGCTCCTGGTTTATGACACATGAAGATTTCTTTTCACAAATCTCTTCCCTGTCGATTCTCTCCGCTACAGTCAGTTCTCCAGTATTTAGATTAATGTCGCAGTATCGTTTTCTGTTACCTTCAGTATCAAAGCGAGCCTTCCCAGTGAGCATTCTTTTTACATCGAGCCCGAGATCCTTTGCTATATTTCCAATCACAGATCCGCGTTTTATCTCCTCCGGAAAAGAATAGCTCACGTCTCCATAAGCGGTGTGCGCCATCAGCACGAAGAACAAAAGACCAAACATCTCACTAGTTACGCCGAACCTTTGTAATGCTTCAGATGTTAAGCAGACATTAAATCCAGAAATATAACAATACACATGTAAAGCAAACATACGCTTAAAACTAAACACAGAAAAATTGAACGAAGTAAGGTATAGGCAGTCAGTCAACGTCGAGGATTCTTTATCACAAAACCAGCTTGAAGTCATGTGAATGACATCACAAGCAGGGTGGAGAGATGTGTACTAAAGACACACATGCTTTTGCAGGTGAACAGCGACACAGCGAGTTGAAATATGAAACTGCATAACATTGATATTTCCTAAAGGATTGAGTGAGAAACAACAAAATGGTGTGTGTGTGTGTGTGTGTGTGTGTACTTATTTTTTTATTATTAAATGTAGCTAAAATAAATAGTTTGCAACCACTTACCTTAAAAACATTCAGTATTTTTTTCAGTGTAGTAAATGATGTTTATCTGAAAGTGTAACAATGCAATTAGGTTTTCTGTAAGGGGTATGTTTAGGGTTCGGGGCCAGAAAATATAATTTGGTCAGTATAAAAGTAACAGAAGCCTATGGAAAGTCCCCACAATTCACAGAAACAAACGTGTGTGTGTGTGCGTGTGTACTGGTATATATTGTTTATGAGGACACAAATGCGTATAATGACATGGGTACTACAACGTAAACAAGGTTTATGAGGACACTTCCTGTGTCCCCGTAAAACAAAAGGCTTAAAAACCATACAAAACGGTGTTTTATGATATTCAAAAATAGGCAGTCGTTTTTTGTGAGGGGTAGGTTTAGGTGTAGAGCAATAGAAAAAAGTTTGTACAGTAAAAAAACATGATGCCTACGGAGAGTCCCCGTAAACCACAAATGCAAGTGTGTGTGTGCACAAATGACCTTTCCAGTTCGACTAAGAGGGCGATTAAAATAATTTGCTGAACAGAATATTACCAACATTACAACTGAATTCCCTTAAAAAGCTTATTTCACATTAAGGAAACATCGAAGAGAAAAACACAAAACTCCTTAAAATACCAACGTTTTAGGACAAGTCCCATTACAAACAGCACAATCTATGTGGACACAATCGGGTTTTAGACAAAACGGTAAAATAAGCTTTACAAGAGGCACAGATTTCTTTGACCCCTAAAAGGCCAAACACAATTCAAATTCAGTATATTAGCAATAAACAAATAATTACTTTTTTTTCGTGAAACAAGCCTCATGACTCCTCATACATACCAGAAAAAGTGCACTTAACGCAGTTTCTTTTCCGATTTCAAACTGTCCTTCAAAATTGTCAACGTGTCTGCAGTTACAAAAAGGCAGTCAACATAAAACACAGATACGCTTTAAATCAATAAGTTCTAAATCAAATCAAATAAAAATATATATTTAAGAAAGACTAATTCCTACCTGAAACGAATCGAACATTTCCGCATCGAGTCCTTCAAGATCATCCACAGAGGACTGAGTCTTTTTCAGAGTCAGGTCAGCAGTCAGTGTGCCCTCATTATAAGATCTGACGAACTTGAAGTCACTAGTGCGCGAGCCCGTGGTCAGGTATGCGTCATAATTGTAAGTGCTGCGGAGAGTTCCCGCGCCCTCCACCTCTGCGTAATTTGGAGGAAGATACGCGCTGGGAATGGCTACAGCTCCATCAAACAACAGTCTGGGCTTTCTCCTGCGACAAAACCTCACGGCCGCACATGAGCTCTGTAACTCTGCTCCTGAAATACAGGTGGATTATCATTCACGTCAGCTACAGTCAGGTGAATATTCTTAGTGGAAGATAAAGGCGGAGAGCCCTCATCAGTAGCAGTAATTGTAATATTATAATCAGAGAGCAGCTCGCGGTCTAATTCACCTGTGGTCACCAGAGAATAATATTTCTTGATTGAAGGCACGAGCTTAAATGGGACGTTTTGCTGAATGGAGCAGCGCACCTGTCCGTTATTCTCAGAGTCTCTGTCCTGCGCATTAATGACGCCAACCTCTGTACCGGGTAACGCATTCTCAGGAACAGGGCTATCTAAAGACTTAATCACTATGATGGGGGCATTGTCATTAACATCTGTAATTTCTACAATTACTTTAGTGTCTGAAGAAAGACCAAAGCCATCCTTTCCCTCAATAAGCATCTCATATTTTACGTCCTCCTCAAAATC